AATATATAAATTTGCATTTACGAAAGAATCAACAGCTCGCATGCTTGGCACCCTTAATGAGTAAAATAGCCACACTCATAGTTAAGCCGTAATCCCAAGTAACTTCACAACAAGCTTTCATACATTTCCATCTAAAGCAGCACTTGAACATACCCATAAAATCTTAAATTGATCCAAAATCTTCACTTAAGTGTGCTGAAAAACGGTGACATTTGCACCAGAATACGTGCAAGGAAGTGCCAAAAAAAAAAAGTTTTGGAATGATCTTCTCGAAACGGCGGCAAAAAAAACTGTGGAAATAAACTATTCTTCCAGAAGCTCACTCTTGCATTCTCATCACCAAACTTCTGACAGACAAAGTCTACATATGACGCACTGGATGGAAAGTACTAAAAACATGCAGACTTGACAAGTCTACTTTGGTCACTGTATTACGGTAAACGTTCAAAAATGATGTTGATGGCATTGTGAAAAAAAAAAAAAAAGGTTACTATAAGCGCCAAAAATTATGATTCAGACCCTTTATTCTTAGTTGCTTCTAAGAAAGGTGATTGAAATCTAATATCCCGGTGAATTTTATTTTCAAACACGACTTTGGCCAATTGGTGTTATGCACCTATCAATGTAAACCCCGTGGGGGGGGAGTGCGGGCAAGGGGTGGGGATTTGACAAATTTTAAAATTTTTCAATCAAATTCCCCAGGGTGGGAAAGGAAAGGTCAATCAAAAGTGTCAAAAAAGTCCCCACCCCGGGGGAAAAATCTAAACAAACAATGCTATAATACTATATAAAACGAATAAAAGAACATTTCAAACACGTTGTTACTACTTTTATTTACGGTTAACAGAGGCTCCATTAAATTACTCGCTGTAATTAAGTATTTTCTCTCTCCACTAGCATCTCTTATCTTGAACAACAAAATCACTCCAGGAAGATTGACCGTGCCATATAATATTAATAAAACGTAAAATGCTTTATAACATCTGCTCAACGTGTCAGAACAGGTCGGATCAGTGGCCCATAAAAAATCCTCTGACTTTCATGGTGGATTTCGATTTCAATCGAGTTTTACAATCAGATGGGAACTTGAAGATAAAAACTTCCTCAAAATAGACATTATCTGTTTAGATGACAGTTTAAAGTATCAGATTATGGCAATTAAAACAAATGAAAACTTCATACCTTTCTCCAACAACGTGACTTTCAGGAAGCCTCGAGGGACTAGCCTGAGTATCAGGCCTTCGAGGGACGGATTTGGTAACTGCTTCTGAATTGATATCAGGCTTCTGTCGGTCAAAGTCAAATGTCCCAACCCCGGGGTCGCTTCACACGATCAAAAGCCCGACAGCGGGGATAGTCCCAGGCATCAAATCCCCTCCCCTTGCCCGCACTCCCCCCCCCCCCCCCCGGCGCTGACCTCGATAGGGACACTCCCCCCCCCCCCCCCCCCCCCCCCAGGAGTGCAATTTTTTTGCCTTACCGGTCAGGAATTGTCCCTTACCTGCTGAGCTAAAACTTAGTGAGAACACTGCAATTACACTGCAAACAAAGCCGACAAAGAGAGGGAACACCAACTGCCAATGTTTCAGCAAAATGCAGTCAATACTGAATAGAATTCACACCAAAACCGACGAGGAATCAACAAGAGGCAAGTTTACAGTCAAAATTATCCGTTCTTCGATGCAACGATAGGCCTAGGCAGCAAGAATTACACCATCTGTAAGATCGACATGAGGAGTATCTTTCCAACAGACTGAGGACAGCCAATCAGCCTGTCCACCGTTTTACAGTAAGCTTGACTTTGCAAGGAACAGTTTAGAACACCAATAATGCGTGACATGTAGGGAAGTGTTACATTTGTAAACAAAATCGCTACTGAACAAAACTATTTTCATTCCCACAATTTCCTTCACAAGTAAAATATATATATAAATATGTGTATAGGAGCCTTATACATAAACACAGCTGTGTGTTTTAAGTCAAAATAACAAAAATTTATTATTGCTGGCCTCCTATATTTTCTATTATTCCTCAGTTACATGATTTACTTCCTTTCTCTCCTGTCCTCCCACCCCTTATGGGCTCCCCGCCGAGCTTCGCGTGGTTGTGCGATACACGTATTTCTAGTTACATGTTACTTCTGAACGCATGGGTGTTATTGGTTCTTAAGAAGGGTAGTGTCTAATTCTAAAAAAACGGTTCAGTTTGTGTTGGCACAGCACTTCTCAATGGGGTTGGTAGCAAAGGGGTTAACACAGTTCGACAAAAATGGTGTCCACTTGCCCTAGGCAAGTAGTCTTGATCAGTGGACAAGTAAGTCCTCAACCTTACTTGTCCTTTGGACAAGTAAACAAGTAAATCCTCAGAAAAAAAATTAAAATAGAAAGATGCTTTAAACATGTTTCAGCAAAACATAAAGTTTACAGCCCGGTTTTTGTAAGTGTAAAATGAATCACTTTTGGTGAAAGCAACTTACAAGTTAGAAATGAAAAGAGAACAGCACTGATGCAGATGACTTACTATCTATTTGCCATTTTATTTCCTTGCGCACTGTAATGGGCCTAGGACTCTTGGGGGGGATCAACTTTTGGTAACTGTTAGCTTGTACTCAATGGTGGCTCAGCAAAGCATAACAGGCTATTTTGGTGCACCAGTGAGGCAACCTAAGAAGAAAGGTAATCCTTCCGCAGAAAACACTGGGGTCATTGAGAAGAAACATTGTGACAGCCCAACAGTACCAGTTCGAAAGTTTAGGGTTTCTTGGAAAGAAACCTTCCCCTGTCGGGTAGTACACAATGCGAAGGATAACACACTATATAAGCATATTATTACTTGTATGAGTACTTTATTGACACTTAAAATACTGTATGTTTCATCTGAGTTCCAACAATAAACAGGTTCATGCTTCTTATCCATTACCATGCATCATTAGAACTTGGATTTAACTTGACATGCAAGGACATCTAAACCTGAGCTTTGGACAAGTACAAATAGAACCTTACTTGTCCATTGGAGAAGTGAAGTTCAAAATTTTTTTTTAACCCTGGTTAACTTTCAATGACTTTGCCTTAACCCTTTAAGTCCTGATCAATAACTTCGTACGATTTACTCTAGATTCCCCTAGCTTCAGAGGCCTTGCGGTCCCTCAATTGTTACAGCTGCCTACTTTTTCAGAGTTGGCCACCTACTTCAAAACATTTTGAAAACCCTGAATGACATTGAATGCACCTCTTAATCTGTGATACTTTTCCAAGCAAAAATGAATGACAACAGTTGATCCAAACCTATCATAGAAAATTTCCCTCAGTGTAATGAATGTTTGTGAGGTGGATATCAGGGGAAAAGCACATGACCCTCAGACCCTGTCTTGTCCACCCCTGCAGGGGT